GGCATCCATACACATGTGTGCACAAACCACACTCAAGTAGGCACTTGCATGTACGGACACACACGCGTGCGCACGCGCACGCACACATACACACACACACACAGTGATAAAAATAAATTTAAAAATAAATAAAATTTAAAATAATGTGAAAAGTGATAGAAGAGGGTACTCAGTGTTGAGCTCTGCCCACCAGTTGTGAACACATGGGTTCACACCTTGAATGTGCATGTGTAGGCATATGCACAAACTATTCATAAATAAAATGAATTTTTTAAGTAAAAGAGAGAAACCAGCCAGCAGCCAGTTATTGGGATTGTTATACAAAGATGTTAATACTTCTACTCTAAATGTGCTCAAAAAGCTAACGGTGATTATAATATAAAGAAAGGAATTACAGGAAACCAAGAAAAAAATGTTTGCAAAGAATATCAAACTGCTTTTCCAAGTAACAAATACAAATTCTACAAATAAAAAAATAACACAAGGGCTAGTGACTCTATGTAAAAGGCAGAAGCTGCGGGTGTCCCTCTCTTGGCGCCCAGAATGCACTGGCTGGGCACTGTTGAGCTGCACGGTTGATTGTGGGAATCCACCCATACTTGTTGGGTGCCAATTAAAGGTGAGGCTTAAATGAGTTCGCCAAACAAGATAAAGATAAATAGGCGTTTTATTGGGGAAGAACTTACACAGATAAGAGTAAATAACTGCCACGGTCTTCCTGCTCCAAAAGGTGCAGTCTCTGCCTTGCTGATGCTCCCCAAAATCCAAGAGAGCATATGCTAGCAGCTACTCTACCTTAAAGCAATCATGTCCGCAACTGAAACCACGCCCAAAGGATGTGGCCACTTCTTCAAGTTCACTGGCAAGGCAAGATGCCAAGACAGCTCTGCAGATAAAAGAGCTTGCCACCAATCCTGATATCCTGATTTCTATACCCAGAACCCACATGATGGGAGGAGAGAACTAAGATGTCCTGTGATATCCATGTATTCAGCATGGCATTCACTGACCCCACCTCCTCAGCAATCAATGAGTGAATAAAAAGATATATTCTAACAGCATTATATATAAGATAAATAAAAATAACATAATTGAATAAAGACATTTATGTATAGTTTGTGCACATATTTACTGGAGGGAGGACCTAGAATGTGTCTGTAAGCAAAATGAGAAGCAGGTAATGTTGAAGATGGATGGGTTCATTGAGTCTGAGGAATGGAAAAGAATACTATTGAAAGTATTGAAAGCTGTGGAGTTGGGAGGGTTGGGAGACAGGGATAATCTGGGAATAGATGAAGGAGATGAAACTTGATCAGAATATATTGTATGGAAAAAAGTATTTTCAACAACAACAAAAATAGTTGTCAGAAAGGAAAAAAATGTAAGAGATCGTGAGATAGCTTCATGGGTTAAAGTGCTTGCTGCTAATCTTGACATCCTTAGTTTGGTTCCCAGGGTCTACACAGTAAGAAAGAACTGATTCACACAAGTGACACTTGATTTCCATACATGTGCCATGCCACATACACACACACACACACACACACACACACACACAGAGAGAGAGAGAGAGAGAGAGAGAGAGAGAGAGAGAGAGATAGTTCAGGGCACCGTGAATCATGATCACACCCAAGTAATTGCCTGAGAATTACAAGGGACAGAGAAAGGGGAAGAAAGAACATTTAAAGAAATAATGGCAAAATAACTAAGTCTACAAAGTTTAGTACTACACTAGCCGACAAGAAAGCCTAACCCCGCCGGAGCACAGTAAACTTGTTATTTACACTGAGACTCACCTGTTCTTGACAACAGCAAGAGAAAAGTAGCATCACATGCAATAGTATATCAATATAATGAATAGCACCCCCAGAAAACATGAAGTCCAAAAACATTTAAAACCCTGTCAATGGAAAATTCCACATCTGATTTAAAACTTATTCAAAAAAGTATCAGGGGATGGTGGTAGCTACGTTATTATCCCATGAACTGGGAGGTAGAAGATGATCACAACAAGGTTATCCTTTGGTTATAGGGAATTCTGGGACTACTGACATTAAATGAAATGCTGTGTCAAAAAAAAAAAAAGGGCCGGACAGTTGTGGCTCACACCTGTAATCCCAGCACTTGGGAGGCAAAGATAGGCAGATCTCTGTGAGTTCTAGACCAGCCTGGTCTACAAAGTGAGTTCCAGGACAGGCTGCAAAGCTACAGAGAAACCTTGTGTCTCCGGAAAAAAAAATTAAAAAACCCCACCTGGAATATGAATATGCAGTGAACTCTGGGCAGTCCTAAACCAATGTAGATTTCATTATATAATTTTCCATAATATTAATAAAAATAGGACATCTAGCCAGGAGGTGGTGGCGCATGCTTTTAACCCCAGCATTTGGGACACAGAGGCAGGTGGATCTCTGTGAATTTGAGGCCAACCTGATCTACAGAGCTAATTCCAGAACAGGCTCTAAAAGCTACAAAGAAACTCTGTCTCGAAAACAAAATTAAAGAGAAAAAAATAGAGCATCCTAAATCAAAGGACATTTATTATGATCAAGAGTGAGGAGTACCTTGGCAGATTCAATGGCAGGTGAGGTTGACCAAGGCAGGGGACAAACATGACAGGCAGACAGAGCTTAGTGAGAAGTTTTATTAGAAAAGGGGGGGAGAGGAAAGAAAGAGAAAAGAGGTAAAGAGACACAGAAATGAGAGAGGACAGAAGAGAAGAGGGAAACAGGAAAGTCCTATCTGCCCCAGGGGAACAGTGGGAAAGAGAAAGGAAAGAAATGAGCAGAAAAGAGAGGGGAAAAGGAGCGGGCAAGAGAGAGCAGAAAGACAGTTTAAGTGGGCAAGGATATTTCTTTGCACCTGCATACAGACTACAAAACCATGGAACCCTGGGTAGACCAGGATACTACCTGAGTGCATTCTGCCAGGTGACAGGGGCAGGCCAGCGTAATGCCCGAATCCTTACAGAACTCACTGTAATAAAGCCTAATAGGTAAACTGTACATACAAGCAGTAATATATCCATTTTTTCAAGCATGCATAGCATATTCTCCAGGTAAATTACATAATGTAACAAAATCACATTAGCAAATTTTAAAAATTAAATCAGGCCCCTTATTTACCTCTTTACTGTAAATAGCAATATCATAATTGGGGGAAAGAAATGTTTGTCTTTTCTTTTTTTAGACAGAGTGTCATTTTCTATTTTTAGATAGTGTCATGTGTCCCTCACTGAACACAAACTCACTTTGTACACTAGGATGACTCTAGCATTACAGCGTCTACCTCCTCAGCTGCTAGCATTACAGGACTGGCACACATGACTTTATGCAGCTCATAGGGATCGTGTGCCTTTAAGCATGCTAGGTAAGGACAATGCCAACTGAGCTACAACCCAGACCAGAAATGTATGTCTTTACTGTTTTGATCAGACTAGGAAGAAACAATTCTTATGTTCTTGATACTTTGACAAGAGCAATGTCAGTATTTAAAGAGGGAAGAAAACCCAGGAAAGATAAGTGGTAGGCTTAGTTGTGAGGCGGTTACCAGAACTGTGAGGTAAGTCTTATCCTGGAAGAATTCTAGCACCAGGTCTCCAGAATATTCCCACCCCAAAATAGGAACTGCCTGGACACATGCTAATACTTTAGAGCCCCTTCTATTTTAAGAGTGACCAGAACATGTTGAAAATAGTTGGCTGGCTTGGAACCAGTCTGACCACATGCCAGCGAAGGGGCTGTTTGACTGACAGGTCTGGGATGGAGACCAGGGCATAAAGGCCTGTTCTTCACATTTAGATCTTTCAGAGAAGACATTAGAAGTGTGTGTGTGTGTGTGTGTGTGTGTGTGTGTGTGTGTGTGTGTGTGTGTGTTTTCAAGAGAAAGGTAAGGAACCACAGAATGACAATTCTGACAGCTTTTTCCAATACTTAGCAGTACTGCTAAGCTCCACCTCAGTCAGGCTGGTGAAGTTGAGCCCTGTCATCTGTGTGCTGAGTGGTCAGCAAGCCCTGCAACTCTGCCAGAGCTCCTGGAAAGGCAGAGCATAGAAGCACGACAGGCTCGAACTTAGATACTGTCCTATTGCTTGAAGAGACACCACCATAATTACAACTTACAAAAGAAAATATTTAACTGGCGGCTTGCTTACAGTTTCAGAGAGTGACTCCATGACCAAGATGACAGGAAGCAAGAGAGCAGCTAGGCAGTCATGACACTTGGAACAGAAGCTGACAGCTCACATCTGGATCAACAAGCACTCAGAAGGGGGTGGGTGGATTAAGTGAGACTGTTTGGGCATTTAAAACCTCAAAGCCCACCTCCAACACGTCTCTTCCATCAAGGCCACACATCCTCTAATAAGGCTTAGCCCCCAATCCTTTCTAAATAGTCCCACCAAATGGAGACCAAGCCTAACAATATATAAGCCTATAGGGGCCATTCTCATTCAAACCACCACAAGATTTAACTTCACTTTCTGTGGAAATCCAAAGGAAGAGGCCTCCTAGATAATCACATTATTTATTTTCTCTGCCAACTACCAAGGACCTAATGTGAAACACTAGACCAAGAGGTAATTCTCTAAATATTTCCCCAAGGCTTCCAGAGTTACTGGTGGGTCTTTTCTTATTTCCTGCAGATTGATTCCCATAGCTGACCGCCACTCCTTCCCTAGGAAGAAAATTCACCAAGGCCAGAGGACTCAGCTAAGATGCTGCTTAAAGGACCATTTCTGTTATCTCTACTTTCCCAAGGACTGCTCCCTCCCTGAAAACACATCTTGCTCACTGAGGCATCAAACTGGTCTTATTTGAGCACCTCAGGCCTCAACCCATAGCAACAGGTGATGGGTACGAAGCCAGGATAGTACATCTACAACAGGATACATAGTAATGAGGAGTAGGCTGGAAGAATTCTGTTCCAGGTCAAGGGTCACAGTTCTACTCGGTAACGGAACTACCAGAGGTTCCAGGTCAGTCTATAGCTATAGCGCTAAAATGGACAGCATCCAAGGTATCGAGTGTTCACAAGATCAACTGCTTGTTCAGTCTGGGAGTTGATGAGGATGAGGGAATAGGAGGGAATGGTCAGTAAGTGGTTGGGGATGATGATTTAACAAGCTCCAGGACAGTAACGTTCCGGAGAGATGGTTGGATAAGCCGCCATCGCCGCACACTTCCTGCTTCATTGTGATTTGACACCTATACGGGGCCCGGGCACCAGTGCCTCATCTTTTTGTTTCCCTCCTTTCAGTTAACAAAGTTTTGCCAATTGGAGAGGAAAGCAAAAAGGAAGAGAGTGGACATGGTGAGCCAGGATGGGGAGCCACAGCAACACAAGGAGAAAGTGAAAAGGAACTGAGTGATGACATGAACAAGGAAGGTGGTGGAGCAGCCGTAGAAGGCCATAACAGTGAGCAGCAACCAAATGAGCTGATCCCTCGGGTCATGGAGGACGAGAGAGTGCAGTCTGTGCCAAGACAAGTGCCGCGACGTCGCCTACGCCACAGATTCACTCAGTGGCAGCTTGAGGAACTGGAGCGCATTTTCCAGACCAATCGCTTCCTCAGCATAGAAGCAAGGTGAGGATTTTGCCTGGCTCGATGCCCGGCTTTGATGTCCTATTTGAGGGGAGCGCGCGCTGGTCCATAGTAACGGTTGCCTTTCTTCCTGGTTCCCCACATGCCCTCATTTTTTAAAATTACATATTATTTATTTAACTTCATTTATTTGGTGTGTGTGTGTGTGTGTGTGTGTGTGTGTGTGTGTGTGTGTGTGTGTGTGTGTGTACCTATGTACCATTTGGCCCATGAGGAGGCTAGAGAACACTTGCAGGAGTAAGTTACATGATCCATCATATTGGTCTGGGACATCAAACTCAGGTCATGAGGCTTTCAAGCAAGCACAGTTTCCCACGTTGCCATCTTCTCAGCCCCCATAAACACTTGCCTCTTGAAATAATAGTCACCTGGAAAATTCAGGCTGGTAGACCTTGTGTCCTGCACTACGATTCTGGGATAGAGTAATGAAAAATGGAAATGAAGGAGTTTTCGTATAATATGCAAATAAATCAAATGAAAGACTTCAGGTAATGTCTGCTATATTAGTAAGATCCTCTTAATAGAGGTGTGTGAGGCTGAGGTATGGTTGGGATAGTACAGGGTGACATCCTGCTCTTGTTAAAAGTTTTGATAAACCTGTATTTTTCTTTTAATTTTTATCATTATAAACTCATTGTAACATTTCTCTCCTTAAACCAAGGTCTTATAATGAATCACTTCCTGGCTTGGAACTCACATTTCAGCCATGAGAGCTGACTGGCCTCAAACCCATCTCTGTTTCCCAAGCGCTGGGACTAAATATGCTGCCAAGCCTGGACCCCAACTTTCTCCTACTATTTTTGACCTCCATTTTTTGCCACAGTAAAGAGTCCATAAAAACAATACTTACTATTGAGCTGAGATCTAAGGCATGGTCCAGCTTCTCTGGGTTTCTCTTTCTGTTTATTCTTGTTTTCTGATGGGTGATCTTACTCTGTATTCCAGGCTGGCCTGCAACTTACAAAGACCCATTACCTGAGTCTCCCTCATCCTTGGAATTCAGGAAGGGACTGCCAAGATTGTTGAGGTTTTTTTTTTTTTTTTTTTTTTTTTTTTTACTTTGGTGTGTGTGTGTGTGTGTGTGTGTGTGTGTGTGTGTTCCTTTTCTGTTTGTTGTACTTTGGCTTTGAATACTTTATTTCCAAGGGCTAGTGAGATGTTCAGTGGTAAAAGCACTTGCTGTCAAGCTAGAGAACCTGAGTTCCATCCTCAGAATCCACATCAATGGTGGAAGAAGTAAACTAACTTCCATCAGGTGTCCTCTAACATGCACATGTTCACCACAGTAGTAGAGCACGCGCACTCGTACACACACACACACACACACACCAAATAATTATAAAAATGTAATATTCAATTATCCCCAATGATCAGCACATCGGATGTCCGTGCACATTAACTGAATATTAGAAATCCCCTTGTGCCCTTTATTTATCCATCTTCTTTTGAGTTTATCCTTCTGCCTGACAAACAGCTTCACACAGAGTTTTGTATGGACATTTGCTTCATAGCTTTTTTTGTTTTGTTTTCTTTTGTTGTTAGAGGTAAAGTCTCCACACCCAGTGTTAGGAGTATTTCTTTTGAGGCTGTTGGCACCTTTGTTGGTGCTTTTAAAATTGCTTTTTGGGGACGTCCTTGGGTTTTCGTGTCTGGTACATTAATAATAAAATAAAAGTGTTTGTAGAACTTGTTTAAAGCTTCAAAGCCTACACAGAAGGTGGGTGATGAGACAACATTTTAAAGCAAATATAAAATGTCCTTCACATTATTTCAACTATAATGCCAAATATTGAATATCTTCCATTTTTACCCTCAGAAAACAACTCGCTAGATGGATGGGTGTGAATGAAGCCAGAGTAAAGGTAAGTAAACTGAAGAAAGCCATTTGACAGGACAGCCATTGTAGAACTTGCTTTTATCTTATCCATGAAATTATTTTGTTGTTGACGTAACACTGTTTCAAAATGATCTTAATGTTTATTTTTAAAATTTTATTATGTGTGTGTTTGTACATATACAACATGTATTCAAGTACCTAAAGAATCCAGAAGATGCTGTAAATCCCCTAGAGCTGCAGTTACAAGTGGTTGTGATCCACCCACAATAGGTGCTGGGAACCAAACTCTGGTATTTGCCAGAGCTGAGAATCTCTGCATCACTCTCAGAATTACTTTTGAGTTTTGTGGTCTTTGTGAGTAGAAATGGAATAAGGAAGCCTCCCTACAGAAAGAGCACATTTCAAAATGGAACATAAGTTCCAAAAGAAATAAAGAATAGCACTGAACTACTTTTTCACCATAGACACATAATAGGTTCCCCATAAATATATCCTATCGATAAATTACACACATACCCATTTTAACTTAGAAACTAGGTATGTATACATATATAGTTATGTGAATAACATAGTTAAATAAATATATAGTACATATATAACTATATGCAACTCCTTGTAATGCTGACATCCTTTAGGCAGGGTTTCTCTCTGGAGTCATACTGGGTTTGTGATGTATAAATTATTCAAATTAGTGTAGCTAGTGGCTCCATGATCCTGAACTATTTGAAATACTGAAAACAAAGAGTAAATTCTACCCTTACAGGAGCAATTTGTGTGAGGTGATAGTTCACAGGCAGAACCCAGCAGCACTCATAAAGCTGAAGTAAACGGTTGTGCGTCTGCCTGAAAACGCTGCTAACTTCCTCCAGTGTGCACTGCAGTAGAGACAGGGAAAGGCCTGCAACGTTTGGACATTTGTCCAGGGACTAATTCTGCAGTGCTGGGGTGGGAACCAGGGTCTCCCACATTCTAGGCCAGCTCTGCATCCTGCTCCAGCCCCTCAGCTCCTCACAGAATTTCAGACCTGGTACAGTAGGTTCTTCCATGAAATCTAAATGATCACTGATATGTAAGGTTACATGATATGCTTTTTAATTGTGGTTCTAGAAGTTTACTACGCTGAACCAATTCCTTTTTCCCAATTACTGTAGAGATGGTTTCAGAAGAGGAGAGAACAATACAGAAGATATAAGAGGCTGTAAGCACTCTGAGGTTCTCCTACTGCTTCCTAGGACATCTTTCTCTGAAGCCTGTGGAGGGACCCTAGGGAGCTACTCTCACCCAAGTGCAACCAACAATATGTTATTTCTTATCTTCTAAGCACTTATATTTCAATAAAGATTATTAGTTTCAATAAGTTCAGTTCATGTGATTTCTGGTTTAGTAAAATATGTATGTAAGCTATCAAGGAAATTTCCTTTAATTAGAATAACAAGGCCTCCTTGCATGAGATGAAATTGCTGTTCTACCTTAGACAGGCCTTTTCTATCACAAGAGAGTTTCAAATTGCATAGTAGGCTTTCACTGACCCACACATTCTTTTTTGTTCACCTAGTATGCCAAGCTCACCCATTCTCTTACCATTTAGAACTAAAATATACCAGAGAGGCAAGGCAAGGCCCTAGGGAGAGACAGTGATTATCCAGATAGAGCTGATTGTGGCCATACTCAGAATTTTATTTCAACCCCGATTTCTGAGAAGTTCCCTTATTGGCACCCATAGAACTCTTGGGAAGCAGAACTGTGCCTTTTCATTTGGGCTGCTTCACAAACTCTTCCATCCCTTTCCACGGCACATGCAGGACACTTCAGCCACTCTGCCAGATGTCTTGCTACTTCAAAGGGAAGAGAAGAAGCCATCCCTTCCAGGCCATAATGAGGCTTCTCTCTATTTATTGTCCCCAAACCAAACCCAGTAGGCAAATTTTCCCTCTTCCCCAGATCACAAGCTGACTAATACTTAAGATATCTTCTCAAAGTATACATTTCTTGTGATTTCAGAATGAGACTTAAAATCTTTGTTTTTATAATATTATAACTTCTTAAATAGTTCGTGGTAAAAGAGATAACCCTTAAAAATGCAAGAAACACTATATCAACCTTGTCTCTGGAATCTTCCAGAGCCACAGATGATGTGGAAAGACACTGAGAAGAAACAGGGTATCTGGACCCCCAAAGCTCATATTCCCAATGACTTCATTACTGATGCAGAAGTTGACACTCCCTCCACCCTGTGCAGGGCTGGAATTCCTCAGTAGCTGCTCAGTCAGACTTAGACCCCAGCTGCTTGTACTCTGCCCCTCCCTTCCTATCCTGAAAACACAGACTGATGCTCCCAAGAGAGGTAATCCTTCACTTAAGTGAGCAGAGAGAGGGTTGAGGTGACATCCTTCACTTAAGTGAGCAGAGAGAGGGTTGAGGTGACATCCTTCACTTAAGTGAGCAGAGAGAGGGTTGAGGTGACATCCTTCACTTAAGTGAGCAGAGAGAGGGTTGAGGTGACATCCTTCACTTAAGTGAGCAGAGAGAGGGTTGAGGTGACATCCTTCACTTAAGTGAGCAGAGAGAGGGTTGAGGTGACATCCTTCACTTAAGTGAGCAGAGAGAGGGTTGAGGTGACATCCTTCACTTAAGTGAGCAGAGAGAGGGTTGAGGTGACATCTGTTCTCGAGACTTAGGACACACAGCTAACACATAGGCAGCCTGCAGAATGCCTCCATTTCAAACGTGACTTTTCTCATCCAAATATACCAAGACAGCACTCTCGAACTGACCCTATTGTCAAGGACACAGCTGAGCCAGCCCTGAGCATATGAGAGCAGCAGAGCTGCCACGTGGTGGCATAGGTGAGGGAAAGATGAGTTCCCGTCTCCACGCTTTGCTATGACAGAGAGTTGGACCCAGGGTCATGAGAGGGAGAGAACTAGTCCTGCCCCTACCAGCTGAAGCACACAGGACAGGACAGCAGGCCTTGTGCCTCACCTGGGCAGTACAGCAGAGCTGACTCTGTTGTCAGATGCGATGTGCGCATGAACCAGCCCTGAGGGCATGAGAGCAGGACCACTGATTTCCCTCACCCGATATGCCTCCTACAGCTATCACTAGAGAGGGCCCTGCACCTTGCCTGGGCAAAACAGTAGAGCTGGCCCTGGTGGTGTGAGTGTGGATCTGAGGCCCAGAGAGCAGGAGAACAGGTCCTGCTCCTTTCTGCAGGCTGCACTGGGTGAGCTAGCCTGGGCAATGCTGGAGACCTTGCCCAGGTAGGGACAATGAGGGACAGCTGGTGGGTTGACCAATCCAGCTACCACCCAGGCCCAGAAGCAGGGCTATGAGTTGGCCCACCACAACATCCACCTATTTATGATCTGTTGGAGCATTTGAAGGGGCGGGACCTGCAGATCCAAAGCTATATGTTCTTCAGGACACAGGGCAACAAGATATCCAAGAGGAGCCCCAGTGAAAGCCCATTATCAGTGCTGTAGCAGAATTCAGAGGCCTGGGACCAGACCGATGACTCATTGCAATAAAAACAAGTAAAGATGAATGGACTAAAGGGTAAACTGTATGACTCAACAGGCCACACTATAGTTTCCACAACAAGATTTTTCTCCTCTTTTGGATTATTTTGTTCTGTTTTTGTTTTTTCTTTTAAATCGGGTTTTGCTTTGAGGGGAGGTTGCAAAGGTGGATTTAAGGAGATGGGGAGATAAGTAGGATCGGAATGCATGATGTGAAATCCACAAAGAATCAATAAAAGTAAAAAAGAATCAGAAATCAACTCACTTACACACTCCAAGCGCACGGCAGCTCACAATCATCTTTAACTCTAGTCCCAGGAGACCTATCACCCTCTTTTAGAATGTGCATATATGCTTGCACATGGTACACAGACATCCATGCAGAGAAAACCCCCATACATATAAAATAAAAGTATTTTAAAAGAAAAATATAGAAAACAAATATACAAACAAGTAAAATCCAAAGAAACGTTCCATAACCTTGACATCAGACAAACTTAAATTCTAGGCTAAAGACTGCGGTGAGTCAACGATCACTTCAAAATCATATAAACTGAGATCAACATGGGGAGATGGTATCTTATTTCCAAATAACATTATTGGTTTTCCTTTATGGTGATGTGTGTGTTACATTATTGGTTTTCCTTTATGGTGATGTGTGTGTTGGTGGGGTGTGCATGTGTGTTTGTGTGTGTGGAAGCCAGATGTCTATGCCAGGTATCATTCTCAATTGTTCTCTACCTCTTTGTTCTGGGGTAGGGGGTTTAGATCAGGTTTCTCTGTGTAACAGCCCTGGCTATCCTGGAACTCACTCTGTAGACCAGGCTGGACTCAAACTCACAAAGATCCTGCCTCTAACTCCAAAGTGCTGGAATTAAAGGTGTGGGCCACCACCTCCCCATTCTCTGCCTTATTTTTTGAGACAAAGTATCTCACTGAAGCTGGATTCACCCCCTCTGCCCAGTTCACTCAGTTTTCCCTGGGGTCTTTGTATCTCCATCCACACCTAACTCCATCAGAACTGTGTTTAGAGATGACTACTGCAACTCTATTGTCTTACCTTTTTACAGGAAGGTGAGAAAAAATAATCACAATCCAATGGCAGGCATATGTTAAAAAGTTCAACCAAGTGTTAGGATGTGAAATCAGATTACAAAACCAGGCCAGAGAATGGTGGTGCACCCCCAATACCAGGCATGAGAAACCCCAACTGAAGTTGTTGACCAGGGCAGCTGGAGAGAGTGACAAACTCTGAAAATCATCTGGCTATTGCTCTTGCTTTTAGTGGCCTCCCAGAACTGACAGTTAGTCCCTATTGCTGGAGACTTGACATGCTCACTCAAAGGACTTGGAGGGATCCAGCTGTATATGACCTGGAAGCCTCCTCCAGCCCAGAACTAGATTTCATAGTGTCAGAAGGTGCTACGAAAGCTCCATAGGGTTGCAATCAATAGTCCTATCCAGCTAGATCTCCTATGTACACTGTAACAACAAGCAGTAAAATACACTTTTTTTTTTCAAATATACTAGGACATTTTTGAGGTTAGATCACATGTTAAGACAAGAAGCACATATCAGTAAATTTAAAAATTAAATCAGGTCCTTTGTCCACTACCTTATTTGAAAATGGAGATATTGGAATTTGGGGGAAGAGTTTTTTTTTTTTTTTTTTTTTTTTTTTTTTTTTGAGACAGTGTGCATGTGTCCCAAACTACATTCAAACAAAGTCTGTAGCTGTAGGCAAAGTTCTCATCTTTCTGCCTCTCCTTCCTAAGAGTTATTACAGGCATTGAGAGACTGAGACTCCATGCTGGCTTTATACCGTGCTGGGGAGTAGTTATCAATGGAGTTATGTATGCTAGGCAAGGGCATGCAATGAGCTACACACTAACACAGAAACAGCTATCTTTGCAATCTTGACCAGAATTCGAGAAGACAATTTCTCAGGTTCTGTGCACCTTGACAAGAGCTGTTTGGGGCTGCAAAGCAGAGAGAAAAAGGCAGATAAAACATATGTAGATTAAATTGTAAGGCAGTTCCAGAATTCTGAGGTATATCTTTTGATGGGAGAAAAACTCCTACTCAGGCACCCTACAAAAGGAACTGCCTGGAAATATCCTAGTTCTCTGGGGCCCTTTCTAGTTTCAAAGAGACCAGAACATGTTAGGGGAAATTGGCTGCCTTGGGACCAGTCTGACCACATGCCAGCAAAGGGGCTGCTTGACTGACAGTGCCTGTGTGGAGATCAAGGCTCACTCTTGACCCCTTGATCATTCAGAGAAGACATCAGAAGTAACTGTGTGTGTGTGTGTGTGTGTGTGTGTGTGTGTGTGTGTGTGTGTGTTCAAGAAAAATGTGAGGAACCTCAGTGCAGATATGCCAGTTATCACAGGCTGAATACTAAGTAACAGCACTAACAAGGCTCAACAGTACTGCTAAACCCGAATCCAAGCCCAAACTCCTGTAAAGGTAGAACATGCAAATAAGACAGACTCTAACTCCACCTTCTTTGAAAACCCAAAAGAAAAGACCTCGTGGATAATCTTTAATTTCTGTTCTGTCCAGAAGCAGGTGCCTAGCCTGCTTATCTCACTGTGGTTCTGGCTGGCCTGCAAATCACTATGTAAACCAGTCTGCCCTGGAACTCACAGAGATCCACTTTCTTCTGTTCTCAGAGTACTGGAATAAAGCCATGAAAAAGCATCCCCAACTTAACCAAATGATGGTCTAAAAGCATTTCTGCAAGACCTCCAATAGCTTTTCTTCTTCAGTATAAGTCAGTTGGCACAGCTGACCATATTGCCTTCCCTAGGAAGATAATTTACCAAGAAGAAACTGCAACTTGGAGAGCCTCGTATGCAACCCTATAAACCCAAGTAACCTGCCTTCCCTGCAGACACGCCCTGCTCATGGCTGTACCAAACTACCCTGTTTTGCACTTCAGGGGTTCAATCCCTAGCAGCAGGAGGGTCAAATGGAAACTAGGATAGCACGCTCATGATTGGACAGTTCGTAACCTGTACAACAGGCCCCCAGGGCCAAAAGAGAACTCTTCCTGGTTGAGAAGCACAGGCTTTCGTAACAGCAGGAGCTCAAACTCAGACTCTGTTAAGGGAAGCTGCAAATCAGCACTCGGGACATGGAGCGCCGAAACACCAACTACCTGATCCATGAGGGACTTGATGAGGATGAAGAAAAATGGAATGGTCAGTGTGTGCTGGGAATGGTGGGATGGAGATGTCTATGAGGGGTGGAGGGTCCCACAGAGGCGCTGTACTGCTTGCTGGCTTTGCTGCGATTTCACAGCACCCTCAGACAACCCTGGACTCTGATGCCTGCACTTTCTCTGTTTCCCCATTTTCAGCTGCCGAGGCACCGATGGTCATGCCGGGAGGAGAGGGAAGGCATGAGGAAGAGAGTGGACAGGGCCAGCCTGGGCAGGGAGCGGCAGCAGCAGAAGGGGACGCAGCAGGAGAATCAAGTGGAGACGGTCCCTCCGCTGCTGCTGCTGAAGGCCTCGTGGATGACGGGGACCAGGAGGACCATGGCACCAGCGGCGGTGACCAGAATGAGCTGCAGCCTCAGGAGCCATTTTGCGAGGACATGCGGCTTGCGGAAAATGTGCAGCCTGTGTCCGTGCTGGTGCGTCAGCGTTGCTTCCACTACAAGTTCAGCCAGTGGCAGTTGCAGGAGCTGGAGCGCTTTTTCCAGCATAATCACTACATCAGTGCAGAAGTAAGGTAAGCAGACAGCCTGGCCTGACACCCAGTTTCCTGGGAGCACAAGATGACTTTTGGCTCTCTCCCTGGCCTTCCTCCTGCCATCCCTTAAAAGCTGCATTTATTCGTTTATTTATTTATTTTTGAGACAGGATTTCTCTGTGTACCCTTGGCTATCCTGGCAAGGGAACACAGGCTGGCCTCAAACTCACAGAAATCTGCCTGCCTCTGCCTCTCGAGTGCTGGGATTAAAGCAGCTCACCACCACTACCTGGCAACAAAAGTTGCATATTATTTACTTATTCATTTGTTTTAGTTTGTGGGTATGGGGATGTGTTTCTGTGGGTGTAGTTGTCACTTGACACATGTGGAGGTCAGAATACAACTTGAGTTAGTCCCTTCTCTCCTTCCACCATGTGAGACCCAGGACCAAAATCGGCCATCAGGCTTGTTGACAAGTCACCTTTACCTTCTGAACTATCTCCTCAGCCCATCTCTTATCCTATCTAAGTAAAAACACTTCCCAAAGCAAGGCTGCCAGACTCCTGCATCCTGTACTAGTGTGCTGGGGTAAGGGTGAGAGTCGTGCAAAATGGTGTATTTGATAGTTTTATGTCAACTTGACATAAGCAAGAGTCATCAGAAAGGAAGGAAGCTCAACTGAGAGAATGCCTCCATAAGACCAGGCTATAGATAAGCCTGTAGGGTATTTTCTTATTTAGTAATTGATGTAAGAGGGCCCAGCCCATTGTGGGTGGTGCCATCCCTAGGCTAATTGGTCATTCTGGGTTCTATAAGAGAGCAGGCTGAGCAAACCATGAGGAGCACCCCTTCATGATCAGCTCCTGACCCCAGGTTCCTGTCCCATTTGAGTTCCTGTTCTGACTTCCTCCAATGATGTTCTGGAAGTATAAATAAATAAATCCTTTCCTCCCCAATCTGCTTTTGGTCATGGTGTTTTCATCACAGCAATAGTGACCCCTAACTAAAGCAATAGGAATGAAGGCATTTTCATATAGCATTTCAATGGATCAGAGTGGAAAACTTTGGGCGATGACTTCTATATGAGTAAGATCCTGTTAAAAGAAGCGGAAAAGGTCGAACAGTTAAAATAACAGACAGCTGACATTCTTGGTAGAAGGAAAGGACCATCAGTTGCTCTTTGACCTACATAGGTGCACCACAGCACAGTTATACACACCCCTAAACCTATGGAATGCATGCACTACCACACACTAACAAATTAACAAATAAATGTAACATGACATCTTCCTGGTGATAATCAGACTCATGGTGTCATGAATTAACTGAACATGAGAAATCTTCAGTCTGGCAGTGGCGGCGCATGCCTTTAATCCCAGCACTCAGGTAGGCAGAGGCAGGTGGATCTCTGTGAGTTCGAAGACAGCCTGGTCTATGCAGTGAGTTCCAGAATAGCCAGGGCTGTTACACAGAGAAGCCCTGTCTTGAAAACCAAAACAAAACAACAAAAAAGAAATCTTCAGATGATCCCCATTATTCCATTTCTTTTATTTGTATTTACCCTTCAGTCCTGACAAAATGCCTTGCACAGATTTTTTTGCCTGTTTGTGTATGTTTTGTAGCTTTTGCTTTATTATTTGAGAAAGTCTCCAGTACCACCTTACTTGATGTTAGGAGCATTTCGTTTGAGGTTTTGGCTGCCTATATTAGTGTTTTTCAAATTGATTATTAGGGTCATGGTGTGCTTTCATGTCTGCTAATGGTGTATGATAATAAAACAAAATTACCAGTGGAATTTTTAAAGCCCCAATATCTTCGAGGTGAATGTCACAGAAGGTAAAGAATGGGACAAACATTGAAAAACAAATATAAAGTATCTTTTGCATACTTGATTTCATCCAAGATGCCCAGTACTGAACTTCTGCTATTTTTGCCCTCAGAAAACAGCTGGCAAGATGGATAGGTGTGACTGAAGCCAGAATTCAGGTAAGAAGACAATTTGGCAAGACCGCCATTCTAGAACTTGCTTCATATCTTGGATACTTTCATCCTGTGGGTAAAGTTACTGTGTTGTGTTTCTTACCTGATCATGTTTCAAAATTACATGTTTTTCAAAGATTTTTTTTAACAATTCATATTTAATAGATGTGTCTGTGTCTGTTTGCAGCATATATGCAGGTACCCCCAGAGGCCAGAATTACAGGTGGTTGGGAGCTACCTTATATAGTTGATGGAAACCAAACTTTGGTCCCCTACAGAAGCAGCAAGACTTTTACCTCTTAGAGATCTGTACAGGCCCCTTAAAATTACTTTTGAGATTTATATTCTTTGTGGATATAAAATGGAAGAAGAAAGCCCATTTCAAAATGAAGTAAAACTTCCAAAAGGAACACAGAATAGTACTAACCTACTTTCACTTTGACACATATATGTATCACACATACATGTATCCTGTGTATAAATTATGAAACATGTACACATTCTCTGCATCAATAATTGTATTAATAACACTGATAAAGAAGTGCGTGTGTGTGTGTGTGTGTGTGTGTGTGTGTGTGTGTGTGTGTGTAACTCCTTGTAATGCTAATATCCTTCAAATAGAATGTCTCTGTGGAGACATCACTCTGGTGTTATGACATATGAGTTATTCAAATTAGATTCAAATTAACTTAGAAATAATTTAAATAGGATCAGTGGTTCCATGATCCTAGACTATTAGAAATATTGTAAACTACACATAAATTCTATCCTTACAGGATAGTGTGTGGAGAGTTCACAGGCAGAACCCTGCATGTGTAAACCTGGTAGAAAGTTGGTTAAACAGAGACTGACGGGAACGGGGATGCACAGAGTCCAAAGGTGCTGTCCTCCTGCTGTTTGAAGCACCTGGTGTGGCCACACAGATAAGGGCAGGCAGCAGTATAATTGTCTGAAGCACGCTGGTACGTCTGCCTGAAAACGCTGCTAACGTCCTCCAGTGTGCCCTGCAGTAGAGACAGGGAAAGGCCTGCAACGTTTGGACATTTGTCCAGGGACTAATTCTGCAGTGCTGGGGTGGGAACCAGGGTCTCCCACATTCTAGGCCAGCTCTGCATCCTGCTCCAGCCCCTCAGCTCCTCACAGAATTGGAGCTGTGGGACAGCAGGTTCTTCCATGTGATCTAAATTATAGGGAGCAGTTATCCTTACAAGGTGTGTTTTCGGATTATTATCTTGATTACTATACTGAACCACTTTTTTCTGGCTTACAGAATTGGTTTAAGGGGAGACGAGAACAATACAGGAGAGATCAGAAGCTATAAGTGTTCAGAGGTGCTTCTTTCCCCGAGGATTTTGGAGGACTCCTAGAGAACCACCCTTGCCCAGGAGTCAGAGCCTGATAAGCTTTTCCTGCCACTAACACTTTTGTGGGGGATAGAGGGTTTCGAGACAGGGTTTCTCTGTGTATCTCTGGCTGTCCTGGCACTCCCTCTGCAGACCAGGCTGGCTTCGAACTCACGGAGACCCACCTGCCTCTGCCTCCTGAGGGCTGGGATTAAAGGTGTGCACCACCCCCACCCAGCTCACTAACACTCTTGTACCCTCAACATCGTATTTTCAATAAACAGATGAATATTCTCTGTACATTTGCTCTATTTTTTGTTTGAGAATTAGCAAGGTGTGTGTGTAAACGATCAAGGAACTGTCCTTTAAACACAATGACACAGTCTCTTTCTGTAAAATGACACCACTCAGTCAACATCAGTATGCCCTGTATATCACAGGCATTTCCCAAGTACCATAGTAGGTTTGCACTGATCCACACATTCTTTTCTCTCCCACTCTCATGCTGTCCATAACCCTCATTCTTAACTTGTCAAAACACAAAAATGGAAGAAGAGGAGGACAAGTCCTTAGGAAGAGCTGATCCTGAGCCTCACCAGCTGCAGCACTCAGGAGCAGGCCCTGCACCTCTCCTGAGCAAAACAGTAGAGCTGGCACCGGTAGTGTAAGTGTGGGTGAGCTGGACCCAAGAGTCCAAGAGCAAGAGAACTGTCCCAATGTTTGCTATCTCCTGCACTGGGTGAGCTAACCTGGGCAGTGCTGGAGAGCTCACCCTGGTGGTGGTGGTGATGAGGGAGAGCTGGCAGGTTGACCAAGTCAGCTATTATCCAGGCCCAGACCCAGGGCTATGAGTTGGTCCAGTCTAACATCCACCTCATCTGTGGTCTGCTGGAGTATGTGAAAGGGGCAGGATCTGCAGATCCAAAGCTACAGGATTTCCATGAGAAAGGACAATTACAGAATATCCAGAAGGAGTCCCAGTGAGGGCCCATGATTGATAGTATAGCAGAAGCCAGAGACCTCAAACCAGACCAATGAACACATATGTAAACATATATGGATAAAAAGGTTTACTGTATGACTCACTGTGTCACACTGCAGCTTCCATGACAAGTTTTGTTTTGTTTTTGCTGATGTTTTGAGATCTTGGTTTTTCCTTTGGTTTTACTTTTATCTTTGAATCTTGAGATATGTATGTCCCATTTGGAACACCCATTGATGTTTGAAAATTAGTAGGAGTCCATAGTTGGGAAAGGAGGGCTATTACGAAATGAGAAATAGAATGCATCAGTATAAATGGTTATAGGAAGCTCACGGACTCCAGACTGACAGCTGGGGAACCTGCATCAGACCAAACTAGTTCCCCAGAACTGACAATTGCCCAATGTGCTGACAGGTGCTGTGGGTCTCTTCTGCCAGAGGTAAGGGAAAAGGTTCCTTTTGGCAGATGAGAACCAGTTTCATAAGTTCCTAAGGAATGCGGGCTTTAATCTAACATCCAGAAACCCTCCCTTAGCCCAGACTGAGCTCATTTCTGGACATCTGGAATGTCTTTTGAACTGTGAGGAACTGGAATTTCCTTTGACCCTGACAAAATCTCTTTTGAAATATCATCATAGACTTCACTGACCTGCCTCAGGTCTAAGGCTGCAACCTGCTAGCCTTTGAGTAATCTTTCTCAGACTGGAAGGAGGCTTTCTCTACCTACCTACACACACGCATGCATGCGGCTTTTGGAGGTCCAATGTCTCCTGTTTTTCTTTTTATTTATTCTTCTCTCATATATTACATCCAGACCCGAGTTTTCCCTCGCTCCTCTCCTCCAAGTCCCTCCCTGCTACCTGCCTTCTCCTTCAGAAAAAGACATGCCTTCCAGAGACATCAACCAAACATGGCATATCAAGTTAGAATAAGCATATCCCTTCATGTTAAGGCTGGACAAGGCCAACCAGTAGGAGCAAAACTGTCCCAAAAGCAGGCCAGAGTCAGAGACAGCCTCCAATTCCACTATTAGTAGTCCCACAAAACACCAAGCTATACACCCATAACATATATGCAGAGGACCTAGGTAAGACACATGCAGGCTCTGTGATTGTCAGTTCAGTCTCTGTGAGTCACTATGAGCCCCAGTTAGTGGGGGTGGTAGGGTTGGGGGAGAGAGTACTGGGAGAGATGACTGGAATTAGGGGACATTATACGGATGAGATAGAGACCTAGTGCAATGGAAACTCCCAGGAATCTGTGAGAGTGACCCTAGCTAAGACAAACCCTGAACCAGCCATCTCCTGTAGCCAGGCAATATTTTCAGTAGAGGGATCTGGACACCAACCCAGCCATAAAACTTTTGACCTACAATTTGTCCTGCCTGCAAGATGCCCTAGAGCCTGTCCCCATTACTCATCTGTCATGTGGCAGCATGAGTGGAAGAGAGCTGGCCCTGAGGTCATAAGGATGGAAGAGCTGCCCCGTCGCCCCTCCGGCTGCTGCAACACTTGGGAGAGGAGGCTCTGTACCTCACCTGGACAGCACAATAGAGCCACTCCTGTGGGCAGAGGTGTACATGAGACAGCCCCGAAGTTGTGAGCATGGGAGAGCTGTCCCTGTTACTTAACTGTCATGTGCATGGGTCAGGGAGAGATGCCCCCCTCACCTGAGGCAGGTGGGAGAGCTGGCCCTGAGGTCATAAGAATGGAGAGAGATATCTCTGCCCCTCATCAGCTGCAGCACTCTGGAGAGTAGCCCTATGCCACACCACACCTGGGCAACACATTAGAGCCAACCCTGAAGATGTAGGTGTAGGAGATCAGAGCCTGAGTACATGAAAGCCTGAGAACTGGTCCTACCCCTTGCCCATTGTTGTAAGGAGTGAACTCAATGTAACAATGCAGGAGAGCTCAACCTGGTGGTCAGGACATGGGGGAGCTGGCGGGCTGACCAACCCAGGCCCTGAACCAGAGCTATGAGTTGGCTGACCCCAACATCCACCCCATCTGTGATCAGCTGGAGCATGTGAAGGGACCGGTCCTGCAGACCCAAAGCTGCAGGATCTCCACAACACAAGGCAAAAACAGGATATCCAAGAGGAGTCCAGTGAGAACTCAGCGTTGATAGTGTAACAGAAACTAGAGGCCTTGAATCAGACTCTGCAATGAACACTTGCAAGTAAAGACATGGACAAAAAGGTTTATTTTGTGACTCACTGTGTCACACTGCAGCATCCATTAAAAAGATTGATTTTTCCTCCTTTTTTTAAATCTTGAATTTTTTAATTTTATTTTTTTTGGGGGGGAGAGTTTGCAAGGGCAGAGGATGGATACAAAGGGATGGGGAGATGAATGGGAAGGAGATGTATGATGTGAAAGACACAGAAAATAAATCAAAAGAAAGAAAAAAAGATGTGCTGGGGTAAAGGTGGCACTGAAATTGAGGAACTGCCTCAATTTCTGGTCTAGCTTAAGATCCATGCCTCAGGAGAGGGAGCCTTCTGCTGGCACTGCTTTGAGGACCAGAAATCAGAGGATAGAACCAAACAAGCCCAGAAAAAAATGTCAGTGAAATCATTCCTAAGGATACTGTGTTATATTTGCAGATAAGAGCCTAGCATAATCGTTATCAGAGAGGCTTCTTCCAGCAACTATGGAAACAGATGCAGACCCACAGCCAAACATTAGGCAGAACTTGGGGAATCCTGTGGAAGAGAGAGAGGAAGGAGTATAGGATCCAGATGGGTTAAGGACACTGCAAGAAAAGTTCTTCCCTCAATTAGGAATTCCTATCACCAAAGGATCAGACAATGGGCCAGCAATTATGGCTGAAGTGGTACAGAGAGTGGCTAAAGGGTTAGAAAAGATTTACATGCATACCAACCTGCTCCAGGAAGATGGAGTATATGAATTGGACACTGAAATTACAACTAAGAAAACTGTTTCAAAAGACTTGCTTACATGGGAATGAACTGTTACCAACCACTTCATTAAGAATTAGATCTACCCCTTGCTGGGCATTGGTGGCACAAGCCTTTAACCCCAGCACTCGGGAGGCAGAGGCAGGCAGATCTCTGTGAGTTTGAAGCCAGCTTGATCTACAAAGTGAGTTCCAGGACAGGCTCCAAAGCAATGCAGAGAAACTGTCTCGAGAAACAAAACAAAAAAGAATTAAATCTACCCCTGCCAAACAGACAGGATCCACCTCTTATTATGAGTGACCTCCTCCCATTGTTAACAGTATATAGAGAGCCTTAAAATATTACTTTAATAGAACCAAGGCAGACCCTTAGTTACTATACATCACAGTGACTGAGAACAGTTGCCTGTGAGCTTGGCCCCTTTAAACCAGAAGTTACAGTGTGGGTAAGAGAATGGGACACCTAAATTTGATTCCTAGTACCACATAATAGTTCACAACCATCTGTAACTCCAGTTCCAGAGTATCTGGTACCCTCTTCTGGCCTCCACCAGCACCACGCATGCATGTGTTGTACAGACATGCATGCACCCAAAACTCCTGTGTTAATTATTATTCCATTGCTGTGAAGAGACACCATGGCAAAGGCAACTCTGATAAAAGAAAACATCTAATTGGGGGTTTGTTTTTCAGTTTCAGGGGATCATTGCATTATCATCATGGTGGGAAACAGACAAGCATGACACTGGAGCAGTAGCGGAGAACTTTACATCCTGGTCCATATTCAACAGGCAGAAAGCAAGATACTGAGCCTGGCACGGGCTTTTGAAACTTAAAAGCCAATCAAAGCTCACCCCCAGTGACCCACCTGCTCCAACGAGGCCATACGTGCTCCATTAAGGCCACAAGTCCTAATATTCCCCTAGCAGTTCACCCACTGAGGACTAAGCTGGCAAATATATGATCCTATAGGGGCCATTCTCACTCAAACCACTAAAACACCCATATACATTTTTGTAAAGTTCTGGTTTTTAAATTTTTTATATGTATGGGTGTTTGTCTGCATGTATGTCTGTATACCACATGCATATAGTGCCCATGCAGGACAGAAAAGAGCACTGGATCCCCTTGGAACTGGAGTTACAGATGGTGTTAGCCTCCAAATAGATGGTGGGAATTAAATCAGATAGATCCTCTAGAAGAGCAGCAGTGCACTTAACCACAGAACCATCTCTCCCAGCCTTGATACACATTTTTTTAAAATTAATCATCCAACCAGAGGCAGAATGAGACAAAGGATAAGGCTCACTAATTTATGTGAAATTACAGTTGATGTCTAAAATACCCTTTATTGAATTATGCATTGGGGTATCCTGGGAATAAGACAACAGTCTAAATGATAAGTTCTGTGTGAACAGCTCTCTTATTGGAGCTTTGTATGCTACTCCTACTCCCCAACCCTATCATTCTACCTGAACAGGAATTATTTGGGCCACTTGGCAGAAGGCAAAGTAAATGGTACTCCTTCAGAAGGAAACTGCAACACAAGACTGTTGACTGGTGACCTGTAACCATTTTAATGTCACTATTCTCAACTCAAAACAAGGGACCATGCTACTCTTCAAAAGATTTCTGTCACCCACAAAGCCATGTCATACCAAGTCTTCCAGTTCTTCTATGAAGAAATAAATAGCAGCCCACCCACCAAATCCCTGCCATAACCAGAAACATGTGTCTAAACCTGGCATAAAACAGCACAGACTCTTAATATCTCTTCTTGCTATGTATGTGGAGAAACTAACAGAGAAGACTGATGACCTTGGGAAGCTAGAGAGTTTGATCCTCTCTAACTTTATGATAAAAATGGGATACTCCCGCTATCAGAATTTGATTTCTTAAAACCTCAGTTATAGGGAAAAATTAGGTCCCCCACTATGGAGAAAGCAGTTTATTGTTTCTGTTGGAAGCCTAACATGTCTGGACCAAAGACTCTACAATGAAACTTAGCAGAAAACTCAGTAGTGGGGATCCCCACCATTCAGAACCAGAATCCCACCTTTTGTCTGACTTCTTTTACCTCGGGCAGGCATAGGACACTGTGATGCTAACATCAAATGCTAAGTTCCAGGTAGAATATATTGGATATGTGGGAGAACAGCATACATTGTACTTCCTCCAAACTGGTCCAGATATTAAGATCCATCCAGCCCTCCTTCTTCCTACTCCTATCTGCCAGAGGAGAGTGCTTGAAAATACAAGGACTGGGATGCCCAAAGAAATCAAGTGATCACTTTACAGTTTGACTGACTATAAAGCTGACAAATGGCCCCATGAACATATAATCCATTATTATGGTCCAGCCACCTGGGTAGAGAATGGATCCTTGGGTTACCATATCTACATCTATCTATATGTTAAGCCACATCATCAGATTACAAGCTCCTGCTGGTGAAATTGTAACTACTGTAACTTCAAAGGCCCTTAAAATCCTAACCAAACCTCAAACCAAAATGCACAGTGCTATTTACTAAAACCATTTAGCTCAAGAGTATTTACTTGTTTCTAAAGAAGGACCTTATGAATAGTTCAACCTGAGCAACTGTTATATACAAATAGACGATGAAGGAAAAGTCAGAGAAGCCACTAATCAGATGAAGATTGTTCATGTTAGCATCCAGACTTGGAGTGGCTAGAAATGATCTGGGGATGTTGTTCTCCTTGCAGGGATTCAAGAGTAGCATGTTTGTTATGCTTTTGATTCCAGGAGCCTGTTTGATTTTAGTTTGCATAGTTACCCTAGTCATAAGATGTATTTCCAGCCTCATAGAAGCCATGGAAATATAGACCCTAAACCAAGGTAATGTTCTTTTACCCTGAGAAGGGCTTGGGCACTAATGTAATAGGGGTCTGAGACATCAGGAGAATGGATAATAAGAAATAACCATGAGGTCTGGTTAATGTCCATCCGTACATGCACCTTTGACCAGTACTCTAATGTGTACATGTGAACTGAATATACAAACTGCGGGCATGACTGCTCCAAGGTATGGCTGAGGGAAAGGCTCTTTGGTAGATATGAGGGAAAATACAGTCAGAGGCATCTGAAAGAGTACAGAGCGGGGGAGAGGGGGGAAGACACGGGAGAGAAACGAGTACAGGCGAAGGAGACCAAGAAATAGGGGCACGAGGACAGGGACCAAGAGAGGATGACGAAAGAGACAGCACAACTGAAATGGCAGGGTTATATAGGAATGGCGCTGGGGGAAGGACGCGCGCAGGAGCGGAGAAGCTTAGAGTAGGGGGCAGGGTGACAACAGCTGAGAAGAGGCACCGATAGTTGTGAAAACTAGGAAGCCTGGAGGCTAGGTGAGCTTTGGTATGCTAACCGGCGCCGCATGTCCCTTTCCCACAGTGATAAGGAAATGTCTCTTTTGGTAGAGGATAACAGGCACAGGAATTTGGGGGAGTGGCATTTCCTTTAGACCTGACACTGACCATATACATACAGCCCCTGAAGTTTCTTTCCTTAACCCTCTCCCTTCTCATTCTAGTGTTCACTGCCTAGTAGTTGAAAAACACTCAACCAGAATGAAAGTAACCATGTATAAGATACAGAGAAGCCAATAGTGTATTAATGCCTCAATCTTGGGCCATTTGAGGCTCTCTAGCTGTACGATAGTGATCCATTAACTATCCATTAAATATGCTGCTTCCTGGTAAAATGAAGCCCTTGAATCCCATTTCTTGAACTGGAAAGCCTGCTACAAAGTTAATGTACTATACAATATTATCAAGTTCAGCTGCCCACTTTGGGACTCTCTCCCTGAATCACATTTATAGCAGCTTATGTTTGCTTTCTGACTGCAGAAAACTCCTTAGGGTCTCTTTCACAAGTTGGAAGCTTAGTTCCAGGAGGTTTTACCCTGGGGGGAACGTAGAGCAGGAGGCCTTACCTTAACTCTCTTAATCTCAACAACTATAGTCTCAGCAACAAGCCTTGGTTGGAACATGAAGATCCCTAGTGCTCATCTTTTCTCCAAATTATACACTTTTTTATCTCTTTCTACCCCATTTTCTTTAATTGTAGACCTAGAAATCTATCACTACCACTAACTTCGTCACAGATTCAATATTATTCTATCTTGAATGAGCCTTTAATTAGCCCATTACCTTTCTATTTAGCCCCAGGCAAGTTCTTAGGATGAGCAGATGGCAGTCAGACTCTTTGTCAAAGTATCACAAGACTGTCCTTTAGCACAGTTGCTCATATTTTCCCCTCCACAGCCCCTTTCTTGATCCAAGCCTCCATGTTTTTGCATTTCTCCCAGCACTACTGTCTCCCAGGCTCCAACTTGGAGGCTCTGTTTACAGCATTCAATTGTGTTTCTAGTCAAAAATTCCAAAGTCTTTCACATTCCTCAAAAATAATAATAATATTGTCAAGTTCTTCACTGCCATAGCCCACGCTCTGGTACCAACTCCTGTGTGAGTTACTTTTATGTCACTATGATAAAACGCATGTCCAAAAGCCTCTTGTAGAAGAAAGAATTTATTTGGGCTTAGGGATTCAGAATAATAAGAGTTCATCATATTGGGAAGATACGGTAGCAAGTAGCAGGCATGGCATCAAAATCTGGAAGCTGGGAGATAACAACCTCAACTGGAAACACACAGAAGGAGTAAACTGGAAATAAGGGGAAGATATAAAATCCCAAAGCCTGGCTCGTACAAGATTACATGTCACCATGACCTACTTAAAGAGCACCACCAACTTGGGGCAAGATGTTCGAATACTTAAGCATATCAAGGACATTTTCATTCAAACAGCCACAATTGTCTGCCAGAACCTAATGGTAAGACCCTCTTGCTTAAGACATCCCATAGTTAAGCCACAAAGTAATTATGCTGATACTAACCTTGAATCATCGTTCCTACTTGCTAGCTTTCATAATGCTGGAAGGTACTGTGCATGTACCAGAGGAGAAAAATAATCACAAATCCTATCCACCTGTGAACCCTGTGAGCTATTACAGGGTTATCACAAGCTGCCTATAAGGATATGGAAACATGCACAATAGTAATATGATTGCCATGAGAGTAACCAGCCACTTTCTGATCACATTTAAGGCCTACTCCACCAGTTGAAACCCAAACCTGGTACCATTGTAAGTCCCAGAACCTGTAGTTAGACAGGTCACAGGTCTTAGGGAAAAACAAAAAACAAAACAACCCCCCCCCAAAAAAAAATCACTCCTATTCTTCTGCTAAATGGGTATAATATTAAACATATTCCGGACTTATTGTTATATCCATAGTTTACTGCATCTCTCAGCCCTCATCAGAGAAGCTATTTATAGTAGATGATGATTAATATAGAGGCTCACAACTGGTCAAGATACAGAAAATGAAAGACTTCAGAATGTTTTGCACTAACTGAGACATCTGTAAAGTATCCCAGTCACACTCCCAGAACCTGGGATCATTGTGGAAGGGGAGGAGCAGAAAGATGGATAGGCCTGAGGTGGTAAATAACTACACAATAGCAGTGTTTTCTAGACCCAGCAAGGCAGCTGCACATATAAGCTCACAGCTGTTGTGACTATCTGTAAGAGGCCTACATAAGTTTGAGCCAGACAAAATCCTAGCATAGAGAGAAGAGATAGGCATGAAATCTAAGCCTCAGACAAAGAGCTATTGACACTTTATAGCTACTGGAGAGGTACATAGTGCATTAAAAAAAAAAAGACACAATATTACGAGGGTAAGGAAAGGGGTGGATCTGGAAGGAGATGTGGTGGTGTGATCAAAATGCGTTGTACAAAATTTTCAAAGGATTAATAAAATAAGAAAAACAGATGGATAAATGAAACTTTCAAAATAGTCCTCTTGGGAACTGAACATTTAAAGAGTGGAAACAAACAGATGATGAGTGTATGAAGTGACTGCTCTAAGGTATGGCTAAGGGGAAGATTTTTTTCGTAGATATGAAAGACAGTACAGCCAAAGGCATCTGGAAAAATCCAGATCAGGGAGAGAAAGTAGAAGACTAAATATGGCCAGCAGAGTGTACTTGGCCATGAGAGCAGTGTGGGGAGGCTTAGAGAGGAAGACCAAAGAAAGAGAGAGCAAAAAGCCAAGACAGCACATGCCAAAAATGGCACGGTTATATGGGAATGAGAAGTTGGGGGCGGGAAGTCCATAAGGTGGAGAATTTAGGTTTTGGGATGGACTGAGATGAGCTGAGGAGAGCAGGGTGAGAAGAGTTGAAGCCTGGAGGCCAGCATGATTACCTGTGCTACTAGGTACCACAGATAGCCATTTGTTGCTCATTTCTTTTGGACCTGACATTCAAACCTTTTTGCTGATGATAAGGGACACTATAACCTCTTCTGTAACTGCTTCTTAGTTGAAATTAGAGTGTAATTGTCAAGGCCCGGGAAGTCTGGAATTTCAGTCAAAGGCCACAAGTAGTCAGAGGACTCAGACACATCTCTTTTGCTAGATGATTCTGAAGGACCCACCTGGGGCTGAAGTGCTGCAGGCAGTTTTGAAGCCGTTTTCAGGTGACTGGAAATACGTTGGAAGAGATATAGACTAGGGACAGAAGGTAAAGTTAAGGGTGTACATTTGAAATTTTCAAGCCTGTGGTCCTGATAGTTGGGAGAAGAGGAGGAGTACCAAGACCAGAGGAAGAGCAAGCCCACCCTCAGGGGTAGGCAGTTGGAGGGAAAGCTGAAGCTGTTGACTGACAAGAGTACTTAACTGGAGTCCATTTGACTTGTGACAGGTAGATCCAAGTCAAGACTCCCCGAAGCTTATGTGAATTTTTTAAATTTACAAAAAGAGATAAAAGTTTTATATACATTATTATTACCACTGTTTATAATCTGTACTGAAATCCTCATTACATAAGCAGCTCATTCATGTCTGTAACAGCCGGAGTAGACTCATGATTTTGAGTCATAGCAAAAGCTATGATTTTGGGTTAAAAGCATGAACACTCTTTCCTCTGTCCAGAGGCCTGGATGTATAGATTGGACAGAGATGTGTTTATCACAATGAGAAGCACCTTTAAGTCTTTACTTAGAAAACAACTAAGGGAATTTAAATATTTGAGCTTGTGACTATAATAGTAGTCAGTGTTTTGCCAGGAACTACATTGATTAATGTTAACACTCAGAACTTTTGAATCTTAATGTAACAATAGCATAGAGAGGGAAAGAAATCTGAAACATCTCTCAGTTTTCACATAGCTTAAATCACTTCTTTAGACCCATAGACCTTTATAATTAGAGCTGCACCCCTTAAATCACTTTCCCAGGCTTTCACAACTTACTTAAGCTTTTACATCCTCAAACTCTACAACTTGCATTTGCATACCTTTAATTGCTTCCTTAGACCCTCACAACTTCATAAACTTCAAACTTTTTCTTTCTCCATACAATCATTTACCATGAAACACAGGTGGTTGATTTCTGAGAGTAGCCACTGCAAATTGAAAACATTTAAATAAACAATGGCAAAAAGGTTACATTTTTTTTTCTTTTTTAGTTTTGCAAGACAGGGTTTCTCTGTGTAACTGCCATGGCTGTCCTTCAACTCATTCTGTAAACCAGGCTAGCCTTGAACTCACGGAGATCTGCCTGCCTCTGCCTCCCAAGAGCTGGGTTTAAAGGTGTGTGCCACCAACACCTAGCTAAAAAGTAATTCTTACAGTAAGTATAAAATTAACACAGATACCCATAACTGCTCAAGGTACAGAGAGTGAGAGACTTTCAAGCACTCCAACCTAAATGAGATGTCTTTACCAAAGCCCTCCCTTCAAGGCTCAGAGATCTATGTAGAAGAGGAGAGAGACTGTAAGTGCCAGAGGTGATGGGTGACACCAAGAAAATTGTCTTCCAGAGACAACACGACTGAAGCACATATGAAACCACAGAGACTATGACAGAATGAACAAGACTTAAACAGGTTAAAACCAGATGGGTTCCTAGCACTGAGAAGGGAAAGTAGAGATGGAGTCTCGCCCATACCCATGAAGCTATTTGTAATTGATATTCACTGGCAAAGGGAAAAATCAGTTTTCTCTAATGGAATGCCACTGATTGTATCAATCAATCTCCAAGACAGGCATCATGCCCAGGTGTAGTTGACAGGCACAAAAGCAACTCCATAATTTGTTGTTATTTGTTTAGTGTATGTGTGTGCGTGTACTTTGTGTCTTGTTTTATTATTTTTTGTCTTATTGGTCTTTTGTTTATTTGTTTGTTTTGATTTTCATTTTTGTGGTTTTTTAACATTTTATTGATTCTCTGTTGATTTTCTATCATGCATCCTGACCCCACTCATTTCCCCATCCCCTCACCTCTGCCCTCTGCCCTCTGCCCTTGTAATCTGCCCCCCAAAAAAACAAAACAAAATTTTAAAGTAAAGCCTAAAAACAAGATAAAATAAAACGAAACAAAAAAGAGAAAGAAAATTTTGGCATGGAACCTGCAGTGTTGCTCGGAGAGTCACACAGAATACCCCTTAATCTATACATCTTTGCGTGTAAGTGTTCTTTACAACGGATTGTTGGTCTGGCTCAAGGCCTCTGGCTTCTGCTACCCTATGGATACTGGGCCCTCACTGGGACTCCTCTTGGATACCCTGTTGTTGTCTTGTGTAGTGGAGATCTTGCAGCTTTGGGTTTGTAGGCTCATCCCCTTCACATGCTCCAGCTGATCACAGATGAGGTGGATGTTGGGGTGGGCTAACTCACAGGCCAGGTTCTGGACCTGGGTGGGTAGCTGGGTTGGTCAGTCTGTCTGCGTCCCCTCCTCAGCAACACCCAGGCGAGCTCTCCAGCACTGCCCCAGTTAGCTTACCCAATGTTGCAGGCAGCCAGAAGCTGGGCCAGTCCGCCTATGCTCACACCATTGTTTGAGCTTTTCCCACATGCACACCACCAGGGCCAGCTCTACTGCTTCTTCCAGGCAAGGCCTGGAGGGTGGAGGCCGCTCTTCTGATTGCTGCAGTTGGGGAAGGACAAGGCCAGCTCTCTGTTCTTATAACCCCCCCCCCAAGGATGGCTCTCCTGCCTGCTGCAGGAGTTGGCAAAGGGCAGGGGACGGAAGGCGTATTTCCCCAACCCATGCCCCCACATGGCATATGAGGAGGGGCAGGTGCCGCTCTGGCGCGCTCACTTCCACAGGCCTGGCTCACCTGCACCACTGCCAACAGAGTCAGCTCTAGTGTGTTCTCCAGGGAGGTGCATGGCCTGCTCTCTTGTGTGCTGCAGCCCGTGAGGGGCAGCTCTCCTGCTCTCCTGCCCACCATAGGTGACAAGAGGCAAGGGGAGAGGTCATCTTTCCCTCCCTTATGCCACCACAAGGCTAATGGGGGGTGGGGGTGGGGGGTCAGCTCTCCCGCTCTCACACACTACTGTGCTGCCCAGGGGAGGTGTAGTGCTCATGGAACTTTTAACTGATAGAGAGAAACAACAAATGTGGGTGGGTAGGGAGATGGGCAGGTTCTCAGAGGAGCTGATTGAGGAGGAAACATGATCAAAATACATTGTGTGGAAATCTTTAAGTAAAAAGATAACCACCATACCAAGAAAAACGAATTCAAAACTCTACAGGTAAAAAACAGCATTTGGGCTAGTAAGATGGCTCAGCAGATAAAAGGCCTTCTGACCAATCCTGACAACCTGCTTTCCATACACTTTAGACCCACTTGGTGGGAAGAGAGAACACAGGAACGTTATTTTGTAATGTCCACATATGCATTATGGTATGCACAGCCACCCGTGAGCAAATAAGTTAATAAAAATGTATTACAAAAATTATTCACAAGACAAATTTGAATAACATAATTGAATAAAAAAATCACTGGAAGGAGAGCCTAGCATGTGTGAGTAAGCAAAGAAGAATCAGGTAATCTTGAAGATAGGTCAATTGAGATTATTGAGGTAAAGGAATGGGTAAAGAAAACTATTGGAAAATATCAGCACAAGACACCATGAATCATGAGGACACCTGAGTAACTGCTTGAGAATTAGAAAGGACCGAGAAAGGGGAGCAAGAATGTGTAAAGAAATATTGGCAAAATGACTAAGTCTGCAAAAAAAAAAAAACACTTCTACAGTAGCCATGCAAGACAGGACTGTTCCGGGCCACCTGTATACGCGGGACGTCTGGAATGTGGAAATTAGTTTGGAAACATCCTTGTGGCTTCAGCACTGCTGGGTTTCTGTGAAGAAGCTGGCTACGGGCGCCCCCCCCCCCTGCTGAGTTCTCAACGTTTGGAGTTTGCTGCAGCCGCAAGGCCATGCTGGCGTGGAGCGTGGGTGGAGCGTGGTGCGCTGCTCATGGGGGCCCCTTCACGTGGCCCCCCGCCCGCAGGGGGCGCTGCTCGACAGGGGCGGCTCCCGCAGCGCCCTGCTGCGGCCCATGGTCTGCTGCCTGGCCAAGGGCTGGTGTCTGCGCTGGCGCTGACCCGCGGAAACAGGAGCGGGAAAGTTGGCGCCCCCCACCCGGGGGCTTGCGGCCAAATGAGGCTCTACCACGCAGCCCTCGGGCGCCGTGTGGGTCCCGGCAAGCGCCGCCAGCTCGAATGAAAATCCATAGACAATCCCAAATATGTTGTCGATGACGAGAACTGTCTTGGTTCCAATGTTGGGCTATCGGATTCTTGACAATCTTAGTGTTGCACTAGGAGTTTTTGCTTTCGCTGGACTAATGGATTTGTTGGATGGATTTATGGCTCGAAACTGGGCCAATCAAAAATCAGCTTTGAGAAGTGCCCTTGATCCACTTGCTGATAGTTTTTATCAGCATCTAATGTGTTAGCTTGACCTATGCAGAACTTATTCCAGTCCCACTCACTTACAGGATAATTTCAAGAGATGTAATGTTGATCGCTGCGGTGTTTTATGTCAGATACCGAACTCTGCCAACACCGCGAACACTAGCTAAGTACTTCAATCCTTGCTATGCTACTGCTAGGTTAAAACCCACATTCATCAGCAAGGTAAATACAGCAGTCCAGTTAATTTTGGTGGCAGCTTCTTTGGCAGCTCCAGTTTTCAGTTATGCTGACAGCATTTATCTTCAGATACTATGGTGTTGTACAGCCTTCATTACAGCTGTGTCAGCATACAGTTATCACTGTGGTTGGAAAACTGTTCAGGTGATGAAGGGCAAATGAGAGGCACCCAGTTCCTGCAGCAAGGAAGCGACTTGCAACATCGGCAGCAGTGCCAGTGAAAACTACAGGACTTTCCCCATCTTGGTATTCAGCTTGAGAAAGGACTTGTCAGACAAGCCATGTCTTCAAACCGAAGTAACGTATGTTGAAGATAAGCTCTATCATGGGCCTATGCAGATTTTCCAGTGTATTTTTAAATACAAGTGAAACTATAATGTAAAATTTTCATCTTCAGTTTTTTGATTAATTTGTGAGATGAATTATTCTAGTTATTGTCCTTTTTTAATGTTTAAAAAACATAGTTTATAGCATTGAAACAGGAAAGCAAAAGGTATTATCTGATATTAGATATATACCCTACACAGCGAGGTTTTTCATTTTTTGCTTTGAATTTTAAATCCATGTATACATTAACAGTGGATGTGGTTAATACTTGACCATTTGAAAAGCTGAGAATAAATTTAGCTGTGGGTAGGGTAGAGGTATACAGAGCCTTAAAATGCATTAAGTTTAGAAAATAAAAAAGGTCAAGTAGAATAGATGGTCTTGAAGTTAATCAATAGTCTTCCAGCCTCTCAGGTACCAAATAGTTTGTGTATTGTGATAACAGACAACATAGGAGTCAGCATAGGAGAGCATGTAATAATGGGCTTTGCATCTAAAAGGCAGAGAATTACATCATGCCTTCCCACTGTTTCTAATGTGATGTTTGTATGATATTGGAACCGTACTCATATGTCATGTAGGTATTGTAAAACTTTACATTTTTTCAGTTTTTTTTTAAGCTTTGGGGACTCTTCTGTTGTTAACTCAATAAAAGAATAAAAGAGCTGGAAAAAGAAAGAAAAAAGTCTAAACAACTTAAAGCACAGAGTCAAAAACCCTAATTCCAGACATGAGAAACTCCATTTTGAGCTCTTACACAGGGTTGTCCAAGAGACTCCCAAAACATACAGTCTACTGCTGTTAGCCTTGGTTACTCCCCAAAGGTGGAAGGTAATTCCCTTTTGCTGAAGACACCATGAACTTCAGAAACAGGCCAGAGACCCCTAAGCTGGAAATGACCTGAATATCCCGACCCTAAGAACTAACCTGCATTGTATGAGAAAGTTCCATGAAAGCTTCAATGGAGGAATATCCCGACCCTAAGAACTAACCTGCATTGTATGAGAAAGTTCCATGAAAGCTTCAATGGAGGAAGGCAAGCCACAGTGCTACCCAGCTATGATGCCTAGGAGCCACATCAATGAGCAGCATAACAAATAACCCTAAGGATGAAGTAGAGGCATGCAGTGAACAGGAGCAACACCTTGTCTGGTACTAGAAAGTTAGACTCAGGGCTAGTAAAGTCATGGTTATTGGAGAATAATCGGCAATCACTAATTTATTAAACCAACGTAATCCCTTATAAAAATCTACAAACATTTGTCCTTATACCCACAGGTAAGTGTAGTCGCCACCCCTCATTAAGGAAACTTCTCTTTATAACAGATGGACACCACTACAAAACCACAACCAATCAAGTGGAGAGTTATGAAGCTCAGTCTTCATGAACACATCTACAAAATACACAGGCACCTAAGACTCCAGGAACATTGTGAAAGAAAGAGGGGACAAAGAGATTCTAAGAGCCAGAGGATCAGAGAGTTTGTTACGGGATTATGTCTGCTAGGAACATTAGAAATTGAAATTATACCCATGAAGTTTAACCAATAAGCCCATCCAAGGATGACACAAACGAGCATGTCAAACTTCACAGGGAAAAGCCCAGGAGGTCTCAGCCCTACACAAAGAACTACAGACAACTGAGTAAAACTAGGAATGGGAAAAGTGGTCCTTTCCCAGGGGAAAAACACACCAATTGGCTGTCCAATGCCAAATGGTCACCCCTAAAGAATACATACAAGTAACTGATAGGAACTCAACAGATTACAGTGGGGAACCTAAATATATACACAAATATGTGAGTACAATGACAATTGATGAAAAATAGGCCATAAATTTGAAGGAGAGAAAGAAGGACTATATGGGACCACTTGGACAAAGAAAAGAGAGAATAGAAATGAAATGAAATTAGTATCTCAAAAACAAGCAAAAGAGCTGGGCAATGGTGGCACACATCTTTAATTCTAGCACTTGAGAGGCAGAGGCAGGTGGATCTCTCTCTATGAGTCTGAGGTCAGCCTGGTCTAAAAAGTGAGTTTCATGACAGCCAGAACTACATAGACCTTGTATCCCCCCCCCAAAAAAAGGAAAAAAAAAGAACAACCAAAAGAGGCATGCCATACTACTGACATTTCCATAGAAATATATTATGTAAATGTATATAATATTATGTAAAATATACAATATTTTAACCAGCCATTAATTTAAGACAGAAAACGAAAAGGATTAAAATTAAATCAGTTCCATCATTCACTGCCTTACTGAAAAGAAAAAAGAAAAAAAAACACTAGAGATATCAGAATTTCAGAAAGGAAATAGAAGACTTTTTTTTTCTCAAAAGAGTCTCAAATGCTCCAAAGTGATCTCAAATGCATTCTGTAGTCACGTTTACTCTAAAGCTCCGATCTTAATGCTACTGCTCCCCAAGTTCTCATATTATCAAAGCATTACAGGACGGGAAAACGCCATACCAGCCTCATGGAGTTCGGGGACTTTAACCCATGATATTATTCATAAGACACAAGGGCTACATCCCTTGCCCAAAAACTGATGTCTCTATGACTGTGGCCAAACTAGACAGAAGAGTTCTCATGTTCTCAGCACCTTGCCAACAACAGTTTCAGGATTTAGAGTAAAGACGAGCGAAGGCCAGGAAATATATATGTGCAGCTTTAGTATATGAGCAGTTATCAAAACTGTAAGACCAGTCATTTTCTGGGAGAAAAATTCTTTTGGGGAGGTGAGAGTTGTTTGTTTTTATTTCTCTTTTGTTTTTGTCTTTTCAAGACTGAGTTTCTTTGTGTAACAGCACTGGCTGTCCCAGAACTCGCTCTGTAGACTAGGCTGGCCTAGAACTCACAGACATCCACCTGTCTCTGCCTCCCGAGTGCTGGGATTAAAGTCATGAGACACCACTGTCTGGCAGGAGGATTCTTACTTCAGTACCAGGGCTCCTGAATATTGTCCAGTTCACACCTGTTAACTGACGGAGATACCCTAGTGTTTTACAGCCCTTTTTAGTCTCAAAGTGAACAGAACATGTTGAAAACAGCCAGTCTCCCGGGAACCAGTCTGACCACATGCCATTGAAGGGGCTGCTTGACTGACAAGTCTGGGATGGAGACCAGGCACAAAGGCCTGCTGTTCACCATTAGATCATTCAGAGAAGTCATTAGAAGTGTGTGTGTGTGTGTGTGTGTGTGTGTGTGTGTGTGTGTGTGTGTTCGAAAGAGCTATTAGGATATTAGGAACCTCAGCACGTGTACGACAATTCTCAAAGATTTACCAGCAGTCATGAAGTCTGAACAGTAGTACGAAACTCCTCAGTAGCGCGGGTGAAGTTGAGCCCTTTCTTCTGCCTGCTGAGCAACCCGGGCCCCTGCAATCTGCCCCAAGCTCCTGGAAAGGCAGAGCATGGAAGTACCACAGGCTCGAACTTCATTTTCTGTGCAGTCCAGAGACCCTCCCCGATAAACACATTAGCATAATATCCTTTCTCCGCCAAGTAGCAGGGAACCAGGGTGGGGCACTAGGCCGAGAAATGCTGTCCTCCGTTTCCACAAGTCCTCCTGAGCTACTGGGGGATCTTTTCTTGCTACCAGGACCGCCACCCGTACCGTAGGAAGATAATTCACCGAGGCCAGGAGACTCAACTGAGAGGCAACTTGGAAGGCCCCTATACACCCTCCTTGCCCAGACGTCATTGCCTTCCCTGAACACAAAGCCTTCTCATCACAGCTCCAAACTGCCCCCCCCAGTTTTGAACCCCAGGGGGCTCAGCCCATAGCAACAAGCGCCAACCGGAAGCAAGGATGGCATGCTTCTGATTGGATAAACTAAACTGGAGTATGGAGGTTGGAGGCCCCAGGCCGGAAGCTGGCCGGTGCTGGTGGAGAGCCCCACTTCCGGAACTGTAGGGGGCTCCCTCTCAGAGTCTTCACAGGCCTAAGGGACAGCAAGCCGCAAGCGACTTCGACGGCATTCACGCCATGAAGCGCCAAAACGTCGATTACCTACTTCGGGTGGGATCTGACGAGGACGAGGAAAGATGGAATGGTCAGTGCGCGCTGGGAAGGGCGGGTTGGCGATGCCCCTGAGGGAGGGTGGCCCCACAGAGGCGACTGGACGGCCGGCCGGGCGCGCCCAGGGCTCCGCGGGCTACGCCTCCACAGGACTTCGCGCCCCTAGGCCTCGTCACCTGTTCTGTCTCCCTTTCCCCAGTTTCAGGCGCCCAGGCACCGACGGTCATGCCGGGAGGAGAGGGGAGATATAAGGAAGAGACTGCTCGGGGCCAGCCTGGGCAGGGAGCGGCAGCAGCAGAAGGGGACGCAGCAGGAGAATCAAGTGGAGACGGTCCCTCCACTGCTGCTGCTGCTGCTGCTTCCCCCATGGGTGGCGGGAACCAAGAGGGCGCCCGAGGCAGTGGCCAGGACAATGAGCTGCAGCCTCAGGAGCCAGTTCAGCAGGGCATGGGCGACGACGAGGATGGGCCAGTGCCTGTGCTGCTGCCTGTGCCAGCGCCAGTGTGCAAACGCAACTCACGGAAGAGGTTCGCCCACTGGCAACTGCAGAAGCTGGAGAGTGTTTTCCAGCTTACTCACTACATCAGTGCAAAAGTAAGGTGAGCAGATAGCCTGGCTTGGTGTCCTGCTTCCTGGGAGTATGTGGTCCAGGGTTGTGTCTGATTTCCACTGGTGCCCCCCTCTTACTCTCTCTTTAAAACTACTTATTACATTTTATGTTTATTCATTTATTTTATTGTGTGTTTGCCACACCACATGTACTGAAGTGAGAGGACAACTAGGGGAGTGAGTTTTCTCTTCACAATGTACCTCCCAGGGTCGAACTCAGGCCACGGGGCAGCAAGAACCTTTTCGTGCTGAGCTATTATCTCCTCAGCCTCTCTCTTGCCGTCTTGAAATAAAAGCCATCTACAACATCCAGGCTGCCAGTCCCCATCCTCTGGCACTAGGGTTTTGGGGTGAGGGATGAGACTAAATAAAACTGAGAAGGAAGGTAGTTTCATGTATTTAATTGTATAAAATTGGGCAGTATCTGTTGATATAAGGTCTAAAACAGGCCTTATATCAGGATGACATTCTGCCTTTCTTTAAAATTTTCATACATCTGGGGCTGGCAAGATGACTCAGTGGTTAAGAGCACTGGCTCCTCTTCCAGACGACTCAGGTTTGTTTCCCAGCACTCACATGGCAGCTCACAACCATCTGGAACTCCAGTTCCAGAAGATGTGACTCGCTATTCTGACTATCTCCTTGTGCACTAGGCAGGAATGTGATACACATACCTACATGCAGGGAAAACGTTCACACACATGAAATAAATGATCCTTTTTAAAAAATTGCTACATCTGTGCACCATGCATTTCTTAAGTTTCATAAACATAGCTATTGGTACATTCCTCTCAATTACTGTCTTTTGGCCTTCTATTAAAACTTCCACCCCCTGCATAAACGTAGCTCCCTTTGCAGCTCAAGATTCATTCCCCAGCTTCCTTCACTGGGAGAGTTCAGGACTGGGCAGCGAGTATTGTGCAAAACAAAAAAAGAAAGAAAGAAAGAAAGAAGTAGGATTCACTTTGTGTCTGTTGTGTTTATAGTATTTATTTTCTGCGGTGGGTGACATGGCTCCCTGAGCGAAGGTACTTGTTGCCAAGTCTGAGAACTTGAATTCATCAGTATACACAGAATAGGACAGAACTAACTTCTATTCACTCTCCTCCATCTAACCTGCACAGGCACACCAAATAAATAAGGGAAACCTATCACTTGCTTGCAGGTTTGACACCCTCCCATATTAAATGGACATTAGAAATCCTTGGGTGCTTTCCACTAATCTGTCTTCTTTTATTTGACTTTATCCTTCTGGCCTGTCAAAGGGCCTCACTCAACTTTTCCTGTTCGTTTTAGTAGCTTGATATATAGATAATACATATAAATATAGATACAGATATAGATATAGATCCTTCATTGCCACACATAGCGTTAGGAGTACCTCTTCCTTTCTTTTAGGTTTTTGCTGTCTATATTAGTGTTTTTCACATTGCTTATTGGGGACATGCTTGAATTTTTATGCCTGTTAATGGTCAATTGGTAAAATAAAATTAGTAGTAAAATTTTCTAAACCCCAAATCTCCAAGGTGAATGTCACAAAACATTTAAAAACAAATCTAAAATGTCCTATAGCTATTTTATTCTATCCATGATGTCAAATACTGAACATTTGCCATGTCTTTCCCTTAGAAAACGTTTGGCAACATGCATGGGTGTGAGTGAAGCCAAAGTGCAGGTGAGTACAGGAAAGGTAGTTGGAGGTCAAAGACTGCTCTTCTATGTCCATGAAGTTGCTATTTTGTTGTTGACTTCACACTGTTACAAAAAAAAATTACCTTTAAAACATATTGTGGTTGTTATATTTTATGCTCATGGTTGTTTTGCCTGCATTTATGTCTGTGAACCACGTGCATTGCCTTGTGTCTGAAGCAGCCAGGAGAGGGAATCAGATTGCCTGGAATGGAATTCGAGTTAAAGATGGTTGTACGATACCCAGGAATCAAATCCAGGTCCTCTAGATTATCAACCAGCACTTTGAACTGCTTAACCATCTCTTCAACCATCAAAAACCATCTTTTATAATGATTATTTATTTACTTATGGGTTTTTTTGAGACACAGTTTTTCTGTATATCACTGGCTGTCCTAGAACTTGCTCTATAGTCCAGGCCGACCTTGAACTCACAGAGATTCACCTGCCTCTGCCTCTGGAGTACTGGGATTAAAGGCATGAGCCAAAACTGCCCAGCCCAAAGATACCTTTTTTATAGTTATTTTATTTACATGTTTGTATGTTTGTATTGTCTGTTTTTACAACATATCTGTGGGTGTTGGAGGCCAGAAGACAACACTAGATCATCTGGAGCTGGAGTTGAAGGCAGTTGTGAGCCTCCCAATGTGGGTGCTCTAAACAAAGCACAGGATCTTTGCAAGAGCAGCAAGTGTTCTTACCTATTGAAGCATCTCTCTAGCCCTACCATTTTGACTTTGTGATCTTTGTAGAAAAGGTACAAAGGGGAATAAGACCACACAGAAATGGGTCATTTTACGATGGAACACAACTTTCTAGAGGAACAAAAAAGGTGTGAGCACTACACTACTTTCACTCCCTAAATGCATACACATTGCACACACTTATCCTATGGATAAATTGTAAATATATGTGTTTGAGTCATTAAAATGCATACATGTTATAGGCACACACAGTTGTATTATATATATATATATATGTATATATGTGTATATATATATGAATGATATATAAGCACGTATATATCTTGTACAATTCCTGTTAACATTAGTATCCTTTAAGTAGAATGTCTCTGTGGAGACATCTCTCTGGGATTATGACATGCAAAGGACACACACTGGTATAGCTTGAGTTTCCATGATCCTAGACTATTAGAAATATTGTAAACTACACATAAATTCTATCCTTACAGGGGCAGTTTGAGTGTGTGGAGAGTTCACAGACAAAGCCCTGCATGTGTAAACCTGGTAGAAAGTTGGTTAAACAGAGACTGACGGGAACGGGGATGCACAGAGTCCAAAGGTGCTGTCCTCCTGCTGTTTGAAGCACCTGGTGTGGCCACACAGATAAGGGCAGCCAGCAGTATAATTGTCTGAAGCACGCGGGTGCGTCTGCCTGAAAACGCTGCTAACGTCCTCCAGTGTGCACTGCAGTAGAGACAGGGAAAGGCCTGCAACGTTTGGACATTTGTCCAGGGACTAATTCTGCAGTGCTGGGGATACTGTACTATACTACATACCTCGGCCCCTCGAAAAGTTAGAGCAGTGAGAAAGAAAGGTCCTCTGGCAGATAAAGTACATGGTATGCTTTTAGGTTATTATCCTAATTATTTATATGGTAAACCAATTTATTTTTCTCCCATTATAGAATTGGTTTAAGAAGAAAAGAGAAAAATACAGGAAATATAAAAACCTGTAAATAAAGGGCCAGAGATGCTCCTCCTGCTAACTAGACCACCTTTCCCTGAAGACAATGGGAGAGCCCTACCATTTCATTCTTGCTCAGGAGCCAGACGCAGATTTTTTTTTCTGTCACCAGCAACCTGTTATTATACCCATATTCTCCTCAGCACTTGTGTTTTCAATAAAGAGGTAATATGTTTGTCCATGTGTCTTCTAGAATAGTAAGATCCTGGTGTACGTTATCTTGAAATGCCCTTTAAACAGGATGACAAGCTCTCCTTCCATGAGGTGACAGTTCTGAGTCACCATCAGTAGTAGGCCCTGCATATCACAGGACCTTCCCTAGTGTGAGAGTAGAGTTGCACTGACATGCACATTCTTTTTGTGCCCCTACCATGCTGTCCTCACCCTGCCCCTGACCATGTGCAAGAGATGCAAGGCAAGTCCCTAGGGGAAGACAGTGGTTTTTCCACACACAGCTGGTTCTGCCTAAGCTTAGAATTTCATGTCAACCCTAGACTCTAAGAGAAACCTCTATGAGGTTACTCACAAGATCACAGGAAGCAAGCAGCACAAATATACCTAGGCTGTTCCTACTTCTCTGGCCTGCCCTCCTTTTATGTGCACGCAGGGCATTGGCAGCTACTCTGGCAGGGGTCCTGCTGCTACCAAGGGACACTAAACCTGTCCCATCCAGTCCACAGGTAGGCTTTTCTCTCTTGTCCTTCCTCCACAGAGCAGAATCTAACACTCCTTGAGATCTTTGTAAAGTGTATATTTCTTGTGTCTCAGAAACAGACTAATACTTGAATCTTTTTTCCCATTCTGGAAGCTTTTTAAAAGGTTCCTGAGGGAGAAAAAACACGGACATGCATTGAGCTCACCCTTGTGTTTCTTAGGATCAGCCATGAGACTGCCTGCAATCTTCCAGTCATACATGGTGCAGAGGGACAGTGAACAGATGCTAGGTGTCTCTACTTCCAAAGCTCATAACCTCCAAATAATATCACTCGAGCCTCCCCTTAAACCAACACTTAAAACAACCCTCATCATTTCTAATTCTGCTAACATAGGCCACCCCTGATGTAAGGTACCTGTTCCCTTAAAGCTGGTATCAATGTTCTGGTACCTAAGCTGCAAGGTGAAAAAAAGCACCAAAAATTCTATCCACTGACCCAGAGGAGGAACTACTTCTGGACAATGTCCAGAATGAAAGGTGACCCTATCCTGAGCCTCAGATCCAGGTACCCTTCCTTCTTCTTCCCCTACAGAGTCTCCCCAGCATACAGGCAGTGATTCCAATTGTGCTCCCTATTCCCGGAACTCCCCGAACTCAACCCAGAACTGGGCAGTTGTGTAGTGGCATCTGGCCTTGCCAGTGAATTGGTGTTAGTGGCCACTTCCCTTTGGGTGTGGCTTCCGGTGCAGATGTGACCAGAAAGTGATGAAGCAGAAGCAGGGTTGTCTCATCTCTCTTGCTCTCTCTGTGTGTCTCTCTTGGGTCGAGGGTCTGATCAGAAGGGCAGAGAAAGGCTACAGCAGTTCTTTATTATTATCATTTATCGTTTATCTTGAGTCTAGTGAACTCATTATTTCCCCCAACTTCAATTGGCGCCCAAGGTGGTTGGGTGGATTCCCACGACCAGCCGACATGGCTGCTAGCAACACAGTTCCTGCCAATGTTCCCTTATGGCAAACTCCTAGACTAGTGGTTTTTCAACCTATGGACCACAGCCCTGTTGGGGGCCCAGTAACCCTTTCACATATCATATATCCTGCATATCACTTATTTACATTATGATTCGTAACCGTAGTAAAACTATTGTTATGAAAGAGGCAACAAAATAATTTTAGGATTGGGGTCACCACAACATAAGGATCTGTATTAAAGTGTCACAGCACTAAGAGGGTTGAAAACCCAGTGCCCTAGACTCACTCCGTTTGAGCCAAAGGATCCTAGTTAGAAGCCCCACCCCCATTTATGAAATATATATTCCCTTTTCAGCAAGTGATCTGTACAACCAGAAGTCCCAGAATCCCCCTTTCTCTAAGAAACCCGAAGATTTAAAAATTCAGCAGACACCCACAGCTAAACACTGAACCAGACTCCCTGGAATGCAGTTACAGAGAGGGAGGAGTGATGAGCAAAGGGGTCAAGGCCAGGCTGGAGAAACCCACAGAAACAGCTGACCTGAGCAAGTGGGAGCTCATGGCTTCCAGTCTGATATCTGGGAAACCAGCATAGGACTGACCCAGATTCCCTGAACGTGGGTCGCAGATAGAAGGACTGGGTAGTCTATAGGACCACATCAGTGGAACCAAGTTGTATCCCTGGTATATGAAAGGACTCCAGGAACACATTCCCCATGGAGGGATACTCCCTTTGGCTAGAGACATGGAGAAGGGCCTAAGCCCTACTCCAAATGACTTTGATGATCCCTCCTAGGCCTCACCCTCCCTGGGGAGTGGATGGGAGATGGGATGGGGGTGTCTGTGGGGAGCATGGGAGGATAGGAGGGAGAGGGAACTGGAATTGATATGTAAAATAAGAAAAAAATATTAAATTAAAAAGGGGGAAACGATTTAAAAATTTGCCAACCTTGTTTGATAAGAGCCTAAGTCCTGACCGCCTGCCTTTCTGTCAGAAGTTTCCCAGAACCATACTATTACAATATGTAGATGACCTCCTCTCAGCCTCTGAAACTGAAATAGATTGTAAAAGAGCCACTGAGGGACCGCGAAAGAGTTACAGACCTTGGGCTCCAGATTGTCAACTAAAAAAGGCCCAAATTTACATCAGAGGCTACCTATTTTGGCTACCAGCTGTGGGAAGGCAAAAGAAGCCTATCTCGGAGTAGGATTGCTACCATCATTCAGATGAAAACTCCAAAGACTGAGGAACAGTTCCTAGTAGCGGTTGGATATCGCTGTCCCTGGATACCAGGGTTTTCAAAAATAGCAAGGCCTCCATACACCAGCACAAGGGGGGCACTGAGTCCCTAGTCTGGGCTGGGACTGAAAAAAAAGGTGTTTGAGGTTTTTAAAAAATAGTCCTAACTTTGGCTGCAGCCCTTGTACTTCCAGTTGCCTCAAAGCCTTTTTATGTGTCCACGAAACAAAGGGCACTGACCTGTGAGTCCATCACCATTTCTCCTATTCAAGCATAGATGGTATTTAGCCCAAACTTTGGGGCAATGGAAATCATCTGTGACATACCTGTCCAAACTATTGAACCCTGCAGCCACAGGATGGCTTACCTGTCTAGGAGTTTGTAGCAGATGCTGCTACTTTAGTGAAAGAAGAAAACAAGTTAACCCTGGGTCCTTATCTTATACTCATGACCTCCACACAGTTGAGGCCCTCCTCTGAGAAGCAGGTTAGCTGTCTAATGTCCATGTGACCCAGTACCAGGCCCTACTCCTGGACCACCCTTTGAGAAACCAACTGCCATCAATCCTGCTTGATGACAACCTGCAGCTGCTCATCCATGACTGTCTTGAGGTAATGATGGTGGTTCAGGGATTCACCCAGAAATGACACACATCGCCAGAAAGATCCCAATGTAGTACTCTCCATGGATGGGAGCAGTTTCATTAAAGATCCACCTTTAATGAAAGATCCATCCATTAAAGATCAGGTATGTGGGTGTTGCTGTAGTTACTGTAACTGAAACAATTTAGGGCCAGATACCTCAGCCCAGAGAGTTGGACTGATCACTCTAACCCAGGCTTTCAGGTGGGAAAATGCCATCACCAAATACAAAAAAAAAAAAAAAGAGTCATTATGTCCATACATGTCCACAGTATGATTTCTATAGAACAAGGGCTTCTCACCACTGAGGAAAAGAACATTTTAAAAAATAGAGAAAATCTTGGCCATATTAAAAGGCATTGGACTTTCCCTACAAACTGCTATCCTCCACTGCTGAGGACGTCAAAAAGATGGTTCCTCTGATCTGGCTCCCTGGTAAACAGCCTTAAGACCAGTGGGGCCTATTGATATTGTGGTGGCATATCTAACCCATCGATGCCTGAGACTCTGTAATACAACCGAAAAGAATTAGAGGATGAAAAAGAATGCCCAGCTAAACCTACAGGTTGAAAGAGGACACCAGAGGGGAGAATCACTCTCCCAGAAACAACTGGCAGGACTGTTGATAACTGACCCCCAACAGGCTACTCAAACTTTCTGAGTTGCTCATACCAAAGTATGTTATACCTAGCCTGGACAAGTTGGTGTGGGATGTCTCGGCCAGATGCCAGGTTTGTGAGGGGTCCAGATCAACACTCTCATAAGACTCAGTGAAACCCGATTTCACAAAGATCCAGCCTTCTGGGGGAGGGTAAACATGTTTGCTAGTTTATATAGATACAATCTCCAGGTGGGCAGATGCATTCCCTACCCAGGGTGAATTTGGTCAAATAGTAGCTAAAAAGCTCCTCTAAGAACTGGTTCCCTGATGTGCCCCGCTCCCAGCAATGGGGTCTGACAAGGACCAAGCTTTCATAGCCAAAATCTCTCAGTTAACAGTTTCAGCTTTAGACATAGATTGAAAACTTCATTGTTCATATAGACCTCAGAATTTTGGGCAGGTAAAAAAAAAAAAAGAAATGAACGACATTAAAAGAAAACCTAAAAAAAACTCTCAGAGTCAACTGAAAGATGGATAGACCTTCCTTCCTGTTTTGTTTTCCTTTTGGGGGGGGCTGCTACACCTCATATAGGTAGGTATTTATACCCTATGAGATTTCGTTTGAAAGACCTCCCCCACTGCTTACCCCCCTTCATAGCCCAGTAGTTCACAGAACTCTCTAACCATTCCATTCTCTAGTCACTACAGGCCCTTCATTCCTACATAAAAGCTATTCACTGGACTATTCAAGAGACTCCAAAGACCTCCAAATCCACCAGTCCACCACCATTTCCCCTTATTGAAATATTGAAGCAATAGAGATACTGTGGATCGAGCGGTTAGATAAAGGGGTGCTGAAACCAACATGAAAAGGACTTTACATGGAGATTCTCTCCATTTCCAAACCCGTGAAGGTAGCTAGAATTA